AGACGATAGTTCAAATGATAATAATATAATTAAAAAAGACAAAATCGAAGAAACTATTTCAATCAGTAATGAGATCTTGAAAAATGTCAACGACGTTGTAGATAATGCGTTAAAAAACGGAAGGCATAGTCGAGATTATAATTCAGAAAATGAAGTTCCACAAGATTGTGATAATCCTAGAATGCCAGATAGTGAAATACATTACAATGTTCACGAACGTAGTACGGGTGCTATGGAAACGTCAACGTACAACAAGGGACATTTTAGTACGTCATGCCTATCATTAGATGATATAATATTATGTACCTATGAAGAAACTAAAAAGAAACAAAGGACAAGTTCCATTTGTAGTTATCCAGAAGAGTATCCCTCATCGAAAGATAGTATGTCGCAGAAACAATACAACTCGGAATCGAAGTAAGTTTTTATTGGAAATAAAACGTAATTAATTCTTATTATATCTACAAACAAATAAGTATGTTGAAAGAAACACATTTCTTTGTTGTAGGAAAGATAGAGCAGACCCGTTGCATTCTAAAAATTGGTGCCATAATGATGCAAACAGAGAACCAATGGTAAGTAAGTTTACTATTTATTTATTAATTTAATATTTTAAATAATATTATGGTAAATTTATTATTTTAGTTGGAAACAGAATTAGTAAAAACAGCACAGAAATCAGACTGTTATTCGTATGATGAAACAAAGAAATGTGACTTTGAGGCATCAAGTGACTACATAGACATTATTAGGCGAAGTTCGGAAAATGTGTATGCACGCACTGAAGCTCTGGCTAATAAGAAAACCAGTTTTAAAGTAATGAAACCACGTCTGTAATGTTTACATTCTAAAATATAACACAACGTTGTTATTGCTCTATAGTTCATATCTAAATATACCAGACCCCAACAAAAGTCACTGCACGACTTACATAGAAAAATTAGAATTAATTCTTATTATTAATAAGATATAATAAGGATTATTTATTGATTATGTTGTAAAATGTTACTGTAGATTTATGTTGTATTTATTCATTTTGAAATTTGATGAAAATTTAAGACGAAACGTGATTGTGTATAGTTTAAGTATTACTATCCAAATTTAACAAATTTAGGTATGCGTGTGTGTATATACATACATAAATTTGAATTTTCTTATGCATGCGTGCGTCTGTGCAATATATGGTGGTCGTGCAATTAGTACTAATTGTGCATTTCTTTAAACAAACAATATCATGAATCTATTAATTAACTGCTACTCGGAAGAGAATATTTCACCGTACTTGTATAATTATTACAATATGAAAATCGGCATACGTTTATATATTTTTAATTGTGATGTTTATATTTACTATGTAAAATTAGTGATGTTAATATACCTGTGTATAGACAAAATGATTATGTTGACTTAATACACGTGTAATTCTAAATAATATTTGTATACATATTTAAGCATGTTTCAATATATTTCACATCGTTAAATTCACTAGTATTTAGGTAATAATTGTGATATTGAATTAAAATTTTTAAGTATAGTTTTCACATTCTTGTGGTTAAAAATGCTATTTTTTATACAAAATACATGCGACCATGAACAACCAAAGTATTACCGGTATTGCTTTACAAAATAGTTTGTGTACTAATTTTATGCTACTTTCGTAACGAAATATTACAGTATAAAGAAAACAAAAATGCATATGATATTTTTAATGATGAAATACAAAATTTACAATATTTAAATAACGTGATGTATTTTATAATATATTTATTGTATCAGTGTAAGTATATTCTTTTTACTAAGTTATCAAATACTTTTTATAATGCTATTACTATTATTTACTATAGTTAAGAACATTATGTTGATAACTTCATACACAACAATTAGTCTTAGATAAGCTATAAACATATGTATGTAAGAATTACTTTTTTTTATTATTTGGTTTGTTCATAATTAAATAGCATATTATGTAATATATATTATATATTACATTTGTTATACATGTATATTATATATATATACAATGTATATATAAAATGTATCGCTATCGTAATTGTTAAAATGTTTTTATTATTACTGCATTTCTGAGGGTAATTAATAAAATTTAGGGCATTTTCAACATTCTAGTATTTTAAAAAACTATACAGTGTAGTATTTTATTTATAACAGTGCAAACAAAAATATGTTACTATTTCTTACGAGATCTATGGCAATAATGTTTTAAACTTACTATATGATCACGCAATTGTATTTATATACAAAAATAAATATCAAATGGCCACTGAGTATATCAGAAATAAAATAAAGTACAGAGTACACATAGATAAAAATATTCATTCTGAAGTCTCATTAATACCAGTCAGTTTTGCACTTACATCCCACAAGCGCAGTGCTATATCAGGGTCTAGTTCCTTTTTCGAAAAATAGAGTTTACAATCACGGTAAATATTACCGCTTTCGTTAGACAAGGAAGGCTCAATTGCACAGTGTAACACAGTTTGTGCACCCTGTGAAAAAAATAGGGATACGAATATAACGAATATACTTATTAGGAGAATGTGTGTAATGTAAAGAGATTTATTACCTGATTTGCAGTACGTAAAAACAATAAAGCAATAGGGGAAAATATGATGTAATGGAACCAACTCCTTTTAACATTTCTGAACAGTCCAGTGTAAGTGAATCCAGGACAGACCATGTAAATGTTAATGCCACTATTTTGAGTTCTTTTTGTGAGTTCAATACCAAAATAGGTATTAGCTAATTTTGAGTTACAATAGGCAGGATTCATGCGTCCTTTAACTGTCAATCCTTTCTCACCATTCAAGTTTGAGAAGTCTATTACTCCTGACTCAAAAAGCTTAGATGTCACAATCACAATCCTATCATAAATGAAGGAATCGATTAATGTTAAGGTATACATTATTACATTTAGATAAAGATTAAATAATGTATAGTCCTTAATATTAATAGGACTATACAATAAATTTCTTTCATATGAATTCTATTTTGCAACACACCTGCTTGGTGCATTCTGTTTTAAATGCTCTAAAAGTAAATTTGTGAGCAAGAAATGACCTAAATGATTCACACCAAAATGTATTTCAAATCCGTCATCTGTTAAACCATGTTCTTTAAAAGGAACATATACGCCAGCATTATTAATTAATACATGAATCTGGGTAAAATTTTTCATCACTTCTGTGACAAATTCTCTGATTGATGAGAATGATGCTAAATTTAATTGCATTGGCACCTATAAAAATAAGAATGTACTTATGCAAGTGCCATATATTATTAATTTGTAATAGACAAGGAAGTAGTTTTGAAATTATATTTACCAATTCTCCTGTAGATATTTGAGAGCGTATGTCAGTTATAGCACTGCGAGCATTGTGCAAATTTCTACAAGCCACGATAACCGTGGCTTTCCTTTTTGCCAATTCTTTCACTGTCTCTTTACCAATACCTGAATTGGCGCCTGTCACAAGAAATACTCGACCATGCAAACTGTCCATATTCTTGCATTTTCCCCAAGTGCGCTCGCGACATTTCCGAAGTAATCCAATGAATAATACTACTGGTAAAATTAAGTAACACCATGAAGATACCATATTTGTATGCCAGATAACTAAACCATGCGTGCACTTCGGATATTTGAATCACGAAATGCTTACTCACGATGAGTTACTCAAAATGAAAATACTTTTAATGCGTATTTATATGCATTTCAGAATTTGTTTCTTTCTTTTTTACGAACTAAGGAATTGCAGGACTTCAAATATTTATCTGTTCATCCAAGTTAACCTTCCGTATGATACACTTTAGTATTTATGGTTCACAATTTATATTCCAATACAAGCTCGAATATTACAATATTCGAAGTGTCGTATAACACTTTTCTTACGTATGTACATCAACTAAATTTTAATATAATGAAACTGAAATTGAACTATCATATTTTAAAATTTATTCTATCTCATGAATCACCGGCAAGATATACATCCGTGCGATAAAAAATAAGAGTCAGTGAGAGTATAGTGACTTAGTGATTTGATTTTTATGCAAGTATATACTGTGCAGAAGTTTCTGACGAGTAGCGGGGGGATCAAATTTATGTATATCTAAACAAACATTGTGAAAAATAACTGTGGAATTATAGAATGAGATATTTCACAATAAACAAACAAAAATTGAATTGTTCGATCAAATAAGCACAATAAACAAGTTGTTATATATTGATTTTATTTCTAATCTTTATCATACAAAAATGTAGTCTATATTTTCAACTTTACTTCAAAGAAAAAAAACGAAAGTGAAAGTAAGGAACGACAGAATTTTTTGTATTCATTTTTGTTTACATTTCTGATATTACATTCTAATGGAAAATAATACTATTTAGTATACATATATTCACTAGTGGAATCTCATTTATTTATTATATGCATACTCAAGTCAATATGCAAATGATAATAGATTAATAAGCTAATAATGCAAAAAATCGATCCAACTTATTTCTAAGAAGTGTTGTATTTTGTAATTATTTATCAATATCTGTTTTGTTTTACTCTAAAAAACAATAGATTGTAATGAAGTTTAAAATAATTTCTATTAAAATGAAATTTTATGTAAGAAAGAAAGTTATTTTTTTGATATCGTTAAATTAATAAGAAATGTTGCAATTCAATGCTGCATCTAAACAAAACCACGTGATTGCGACTGTATGGCGGGAGTTACAATGTCAATACACATATGTGAAATTGTTACATGTTATTATTTATATACATATAAAATAATATTTTAGTTCGTCTTTGGGGCTCTAAGTTAGCAACAATAATTTAATGGACACTCTGCTATCAGTTTTTTAAATCTTTGTTGAACCTATCCGAATTTTGAGCCACATGAGTCATATTTACGATACACTCCTGGTTATAGTCGTTCCAGCTATACAATACAGTCACGTGGTTTTATTTACCAGTTGTACGTGTTGAGTAGGGCAAAGCCATTGAACTATACTAATTGTCAGTGGACCTTGGACCATACTTCATAACCGATCATGATGTGGTTTAAAACCACTTTACTTTTGCTATTTTTTGCGTTATGGCAACCGACTTCGCAACATATTTTCTTCAATAAATTTCAGAAGCAATCACGCAGTCAAGATGAATTGGACAGCGCGAAGTACAAATATCAAACCAAAACAATCGATATGCCGGTATGTTTTTATAAAAATTTCTATTGTTGAATTTTCAATTTTGTTATTTATCAAACTTTGCATAAACTTAAATTTGTCTTACAGGTGGATCATTTTAGTTTCGCATTACCAGATACATTTAAGTTAAGGTATCTTGTGAATGATACTTGGCAATCAGGAAAAAATGCACCTATTTTTTTTTATACTGGAAATGAAGGTAGCATCGAAACTTTTGCTCAAAATACGGTGAGAATGACAAATCATATTTATATCATATATTTAACAATATTTAGCTTGCTCTAATTTTTATTTTTTTTATAATGTTTGAACTCAAATTCATTCCAGATGTTATGCTAATTACCATATTTTACAGGGATTTATGTGGGAGATAGCTCCAGAATTTGGAGCATTATTAATTTTTGCTGAACACCGTTATTATGGAGAATCTATGCCATATGGCAATCAATCTTTTAATGGTTCCCGACATTTGGGATACCTGACATCTCAACAAGCTCTTGCAGATTACGTTGATCTTATTCAGTACTTAAGATCTAAATTAGAATATAAGTACAGTCCTGTTATAGTTTTCGGTGGTTCATATGGTGGTATGCTTAGTGCATGGATACGTATGAAATATCCTCATATTGTACAAGGGTAAGTGAATTGAATAATATAGAAAAAATAATTGTAAAAAATATAAAAAAAATATTTTAGAGCAATTGCAGCTTCAGCTCCAATTCTTCTATTTAATGGGATTGCAGAATGTGAAGCATTTGGACGAATAGTTACATCAGATTTTAATAGTGGTCATCCAAATTGTCCAAAGTTGATTCGTAAATCATGGGATGTTATTAACAATATGACATCAACTGGTAATCTAGTTTTACTTCTTATACATACTTGGACATTGGTAATTTTTATTTTGTAATATTTTCTTCATATCATCATTTTATTTTAATAGACAAAGGAAAAATGTGGTTATCAGAAAATTGGAAATTATGTCAACCATTAAAAAATGCCAGTGATGTTAAAAAACTCAAATCGTTTTTAGTAGATATTTATACAAATCTTGCTATGTTAAACTATCCATATGAAGCTAATTTCATAGCACCATTGCCTGCTTATCCTGTTAATGTAGGTATTAATTGATTGCATAATCTATAAAAAGTATTTTTAATATTTTTATAAACTAATTACATTTATTTTTATTTTCATTACAGGCTGCATGCAAACACCTAACAAACGAATCGTTAACAGGAACGGAATTGATGACTGCAATATATAATGCTTTTAATGTATTCATTAATTACACTAAGGAAACAAAATGTTTAAATACAAATGATTCTACGCCAGAATTAGGTGCTCGTGGTTGGTCTTATCAGGTTTGCACCGAAATGGTGATGCCAACTTGTATGAATGGTGTAAATGATATGTTTGAGCCTGATTCATGGAATTTTGATGAATACACCAAAGACTGTATGCAACAATATTCAATAAAACCACAGCAAAATTTAGCATGTGAAGAGTATGGATGTGCTGACTTATCAACCGCAACAAACATTGTTTTTAGGTATGTATTAGCAAATAATACTTTTAATATTTGAAAACTTATAATAAGAACCTGGCATAACATTCGTAATATTACTATGTGTATAGTAATGGTTTATTGGATCCGTGGACTAGTGGTGGGGTATTACGAAACTTATCTTCATCAGCAGTAGCAATAATAATTCCAGAAGGTGCCCATCACCTTGACTTAAGGAGCACCAATGTTAATGATCCATATAGTGTTATTTATGCACGAAAATATCATCGCTATTTTATTAAAATATGGATTAAGGAATATCGCAAGAAAACGAAAAGGTTCATTAATTAAATATTTGTTGTTCTGATGCTGTAATACGGAATTGTGATAAAGTATGTATTAAAATAGAACAAATATATACATTTTAATTATTATTCTTTATTTCGGAAATTATATATAAAAAAGCATAACATGCACATAATAATGATTACAAATACAGTAATCTCGATTGTTTTAAGTAATCAGCAAAATGAATTGAAAATAATACAAGCAGTTTATTATCACAGTAATTAAAGAATACACGTGCTGTAATACAATTTGAAATACAGGCAGATAAAACTATAAAAAAATTTGAGAAATTGAAATATACATTTGAAACATTGGATACAATAATATTACGTCCGTAAAGTTTGTGTATAGTTTAGATAACTTCATGTAGCAATTGCACGAGGCATCGATTACTAAAATGTAAATAATATTCTAAAATCACTTTGACTATGAAGTCCTATAGAAATGCTACAGTATTATCGTCACGCTAAAAAATCTAATTGATATCAAAGTATACACAAATGGCAATGTAAAATGACACAAGTTTGTTAACTATTATGTGGTAAAGATTCAATTTCCTGTCTTTCCAGTTACGTATAATTAACATCCCTATATAGAGCAAAACGTTTTATTTCTTATCACACAGGTACAGCACATATTTCCCTCTCTAAAGTCTTCATATCAATCTTCTATTTAGTAATGATTTCTATCGCATGCCGTTAAATATGAAAATGTAATTTCTATGAATTTATATTTATTATTGATTTCAGTATCGACATCTAATATTTAACAGACAACACAGAGAAATGGAAATATATGAAACGTAAAATCTTACCATTATGATAATTCACTTTAATTGCTATAACTTTTATAAGTTATAAGAAAATTACCCGATTCGAATAAATTAAAACTCCATCGAGTTTAGTTATAATTTTTACCATATTACAATTAATATAACATGATTTTAATGCCAGTTATGAAGAGGTCTTTCAGATATGATATTTTTCTACTGTGTTATGTGTTTTTTGCCTTCATATAATGTTCAGAATACGATGAACGTATCGACTAAAAGTAAGAATAAATATGGAATCGTATGAAATGCAAAGTTTGTCATATAAATTATATAAACAAAAATAACTTAAAATAGCTCGACAAAAATTCTAAAAAAAGTACTTAGTGAAAAATAAATATATCTATCATTTTATCGTTTAAATATATTTTTAGTGTGGAGTACGTCTATGTGCCGTTGTTGGCCTCGGTACTCCAGATCGACCTCTTATTTTCTTTGGTTGCACAAAAGTATTATCGATTCCAGTATTATAGGAAAGATATATATTTGACATATCAGGTTGAGTTTGCTATAAATAAACAATATTATGAATATTACGATCTATGCTTATAAAATATAGTATCAATTATAACAAATTATATAAATACATACATCTTTGTTGGTTCCTATTGGTGGTGTCGCTTGTGCTTTCCGCATATTATTGCCCGTGTATGCTACACATTTCAATTGCCATTCCCCAATATCTTCATTCCAATGAACATATCGTTCAATCATCGTCTGTAAAAAAATCAAAATTCATATATTTTTTGTTACACATGATTTATATTTACAGATACAGCTATATGTTATGCATACTTGATATTGAACAGGGATGTAACTGTTCACTATTAACTCTTGGAGTTGTAATTCTCTTCCAATACCTCTGACTCCTTCTAGAAGTCCTTCCATTTCTCTTTGATGTTCTTGCTGTAAATCGGATAATTCTGCTTTAACGGACATTAACATTGTATGGACTCTGGCTAATTTTTTCGTTTTTCCTGCAGCTTCTTCTTGTAAAGAAGAATACTTTTCTTCAATATCAATACGTTCAGCTTCTTTTGCTTCAATAGCTTTTTTCAGTTGTTCTTCTCTGCTTTTACGTTGATCGAGTTCAATCGCTGCCGCAGCTAATAAATGTTCTTGAGCTTCAGCCTTTTCCAATAAATTTTCGCCTCCAACTAATATTTTATTTTGTAAGTTTTGCATTTTTTCTCGTAATGCTTCCTTTTCACTCCTGTAAAAATAATCGTTTTATAAACAACATATCGCTTGAATCAATTTTTAAGAACTTACTGTGTTCTTTTTAGTTCTATGACATCTTTATCATCAGGACTTTTATCCTCTCTCTCAGCTTTATCAATCTTCTCAGTGGAATCAACATCTCGGTCTTCTAGTTCTTCCATTGTTAATATTTGACTTCTTCTACGTTTTGCTTTTTTCTCATGCTTAGTTTCCCCCGTATCTTCGGAATCTTCTGTGTCATCTTCAGATTCTGAGATTTCAGCGCCATTTTCCTCTAACTGTTTGCGCAACTGTTCAATTTCTACTTGAAACTGACGAAGTAAAGCATCCTTTGGATCTTCGTTAATTCTCGCCCTATTTTTAATGTTTTTAGCGCGGTTTGCATACCGAAGCGTGCTAATGGTTTCGTCATAGTTTATATCGGCTGGACTTACATTCGCACACTACATTCAAATAATTAATTAAAGTAATAATTTAACGAATTATGTTTATTTCATAAAAATTAAGAATACTACCATTAACGTTTTTGAGTTACCACCCAAAGAGTCTTGAAGCAATCTTGTGAGTTTAGAATTTCTGTAAGGCACATGTGAACTTTGACCATCAACCAATGCAGATATTACATTACCTAACGTTGAAAGTGACAAGTTAATTTTTGTTGCTTCTCTTAAACGAACTCCGGAAGCTTTAGTTTTGCTTTGTCTTTCTGAACCCTAAAATAAAACAACACTTTAATATATATACTTTAAAAAATACACAATACATTGATTGCAAGCATCACGTACAGCCAAATCAACTAAATGAAGTTTGCCCATTTTAACATGTTGTTCGCCATCTTCTCCAAGTTGACTAGATTCAACTGTGATCGTGAATATTGCGTGAGACCTCGAACTCGATACATTCATTGCTGTAGCCCCAACAACACCTACAATACAACCACATCATTTGATAAATCATTAGTTAAACAATCTCTATTACTTATGACAACATAATTAATATGTGCTGTTATTATTATTATTTTAATAGTAGAAGAATATAATATGAAAGCCTTGAATAGGATACTCACGGTTTTTATTGCCAAGTGACATTATCCGATCTAAATCATCAGCATTGTTTACAACATATCCACTAAGATCCTTTACAAATACTCCAATGTCAGGTCTTTCTTTTACTTCTAGTCTTGAATTTTGATCTTTACCTAATAGATCTCTAACTTCCTCATTGTAAATTTCTAAATATGTTGCACGTACAAGGAATCTACCAATAAAATAATATTGCTTTAAACATTTATTTAACTGAAAACAATTCTTTGTAGCGATACTTACTTTTGGTTGTCATGAGCTTTAGCTATATGTCCAAAAACATGTGCAAAGCTATTAGGAATAATACCTCTAAGCTGAGGTGATGTTTTTGCACCTGACATGGTATATGTTTTTCCAGTGCCAGTTTGTCCATATGCAAATATAGTTCCATTGTATCCTTGCAGGACTTTATCCACAATAGGTCTTGCTGTTTCATTGTAAATATCAACTTGTGTTGAATCAGTATCAAAGACAGCATCGAAAGAAAAAACTTTTGGTGGTTCTCCTTGTGCAGCATTTGGATTTTCAACAGTTATTTCACTATTTATAGTATCTACGTGTACTATATTTTTCGAATGTCCGTCCAACTCCTTTCCATTTAAAGGTCGAACACGGACCACAACCCTAACATTTTCTATTTCTCCGAGTTCCGTAGTGCTGTCCTATAAAAACAATATCATTTTTACGATCGTCAAAACAATACATAGCTGAAAGAATATAGAAACTAAAATATCTAAGAATCTAATACATCCACTAAATTTTCTTTCTGGGTGCTTAATTTAATGATAAAATTACGATGACACGATTTGACAGATCGAACTGTCAAACAAATTTTTTGATACGATTCTCCCCTTAAGATATATATTTCTTAGGATGTATGAGAATACTTACTTCGGTCTCCGGCATTGCAACTCTGTTTCTTTTTAAAGTCACATAAAAACACGATTTAGAGCAAAATGCTCAATCTCAAAACACTGGTAGAACGTAAGGAAATAGCAGACGACCTCCGTAAACAAATGGATCGATCTGTATGGTTGGAATTATACGAAAATTGGCGCAGGCAAGTCACGTCATCTGTATCTGCAATGTTGGAAGCTCGGTAGGTAATTCACCGACGTTTTCTTCCTTTCGTAAATGTTTCAAAAATTATTTTTCTAATGTGAAGTTATTCTAGCTTCCATTAATTGATAAATAATCCTATAATATGATTCCTTTATTTCCTCGACACCGAATATTTCATTTTATTTACAAATGAAATAAAATGTAGGACATAAATTATTAGTTACAGGAATGTTTACAAAATTAATTATAATTTTAGTAGAATTTTAATTGTTTAAAATTCTTCGTACCTGTAATACAGTTATGTTTCGCGATATTTATAATATACTTATGACAACTCAATTTGCGTTTAAACAGATAAAAATATATTTCTATTGATTTAGAAACTTGACAAAAACAGGACAGCAGGAAGTGTTCGCACACATTGTGGCCGCATTTTAAATTTGACTCGTTAGGATCATTGTATAACTTGGCTTCTACGGTACTAAATTTCACTTCCGCAAGTGTACATTTTACATTAGTTACTTGCGTGTTCACGATTCGTAAGTCTTCTACATGATATCAATGACCATGTAAACCTATGAAAGAACTCGAGACTTGGACGATATTTGAATATCGATGTGATTAATCAGTTTTCCCAATTTTTGCCATCATGAAAAAAACACACCCGAGCGATTTATAAAAATGGAATCTTTACAACCCTCTTCCCTAATTTGAGATTACTTAGTTATCGAGTTACTTAATATTATTTTATTAAGATTACTAGGTTTAAATCGAACGTTTGGTAGTTTTCAATTGTATGGAGACAACATTTTAACTTTATAGAAATTTTCATGAGTTTTCGTTTGGCATCCAACGTGTTAAGCTTGTTAAAAAGTATTTTCTGCTAACGACG